TGCACTCGTTCCAAGAGACCGGCTCCGCCACTCGCCTAGGGACCAGCCGCCTTCTCCATCCGGTGTTCGGTCACCCCGCCTCCTCCTGCCGGGGGTGATGTCCCCTCCATCCGTATTCCCCTCCGTTCACTTCTGGAGGACGACTTCATTCTAGTCGCCATAGATTTTGCCGAGATGGCAGCTGTCCTGTCTGCTCTCACCTCTGCCCTTCTCATGAAGGATCTTGGCGACCTCAAGAACTACCTGGGGATGGAGATCACTCGTGAGCGCCTTGCTTGCACAATCACCCTCTCCCAGGAGTCCTACATCGACAACCTCCTCAAGCGGTTCGACATGGACTCTAGTAATTCTGTCACTCCACTCCCACTACAGCGTCAGCTCACGGTCCCTCCGATTCCTTCTCCTAACGCCTGCAAGGACCCGTACCCTGAGCTAGTCGGTTCACTCCTGTATGCCATGATGTGTATTTGACCAGACTTGGCTGACCTGGTTAGTGTCTTCTCTCGGTACGTCTCTCCTGGACGCTACACTGCCTCGCATTGGTCTGCAGCCAAGAGGGTCCTGCGCTATCTACAAGCCACCAAGTCTCACATCCTCACTCTTGGTGGTACCTCTCCAGTCAAGCTCGAGGGATACACAGACTCCTCATGGGCCGATGACCAGACTGACAGACGCTCCTCCCAAGGGTACTGCTTCACCCTTGGTAGCGGAGTCATCAGCTGGCGCTCCACTCCGTCCTCTGCAATCTCCATGTCGTCCTGCGAGGCCGAGCACTATGCAGGCACAATGGTTGCTCAAGAGGCACGCTGGCTCTCCTTTCTCCTCTCTGAGTTAGGCTACCCCCAGTAGTCGCCCACCCTGTGGTGTGACAACCAGACCACCATTCACCTCACCAAGGATCCTGTGTTCCACTCTCGCACCAAGCACATCGAACTTCGTCATTTCTTCATCCGAGATCTTGTTCAGAGTGACCTGCTGACGGTACGGTACATCGCCTCAGATTGCAACCTCGCCAACCTCTTTACCAAGGCTCTCGGCAAGGCTGACCACCATAGCCTTCTTCGTTCCATGGGGCTATGTGCTCCTTGACCAGGTTTGCAGTCTATGGGGGTGTGTTAGAAATAGACTACAAATCCCACTTTTGTATTTGTACTAATATATCCTGGTTTAGGTTATGAATGTTCTGGTGGGTTGGGGTGTTCTGACAAATCCCAACCTCACCCAATTGTGATCCCCCCAATCTCCAATTACCCAATTGGAGATTCCGGAGATCCCAACGGGGATTCCCTCCGATTCCCCCCTTCATCCATTCTCTCTCACCTTGCCATGTACTTATAGAGCCTTGGGCTCCTTACCTAATTATTCATTTTAGCTCTATTTCTCACACCCTCGTCTGAACCACTGTCCCCGCCCTCACCGCTGCCACCCCCTTTCCCCCCACCACGGCCCCCTGTGGGGTGGCGACCCTTACCTGTATGCTTCTGCGGTGAGGCCACAGCAGCGGTCTTAGCAATTGCAGCAGAGACGTCACAGTGAGTGCACTGGGAGGGAGCACAGCACTGAAAGATAGGTACCGCCGTAGTACCACTAGACTGATGGATACTACGCTGGCGGGTCTCTATCTCAGACAGGGCAGTGACAAAGGCGGTGAGAGTGAGGTCACCCGGGTGCTGACTAAGGAAGTAGTCGCGGGCTTTGGCTAGGCGGTCAGGGAGGCGCGTGGCGATGAGGTAAAGGGTAGCGCAGAACGGCGGCGGGAAGGCAGTGAGCTCTGCCTCAGTGCTAGCCGTGCGGTAGCTCGTCTCAAGTGCGCGGAGGTGTGTGGCAAAGTCGGCGACAGCGGGGAAGGACGCAAGATATGGGAACAGCATCGGAAGGATCAGGTGACTAGTAGAGGCAGTGGCGGGGGTGGAATAGCGTGCAATGGCGGCATCTAAGAAGTCGTGGGCGTTCGCTACAGTGGTAAGGCGAGGACGCTCAAGCAGCGGGAGTGCCCGGCTGAAAACAAGCTAGGCGATAGCATCACGCGAGTTCCAGACGGCACGGTCAAGCGCAACAGCGAAAAAGGCCTCACGCTCAGCAGGGGTGGGGGCATCAGGGAGGGCAGCAGGGGCAGGGGGGCGGGGAAGCAGGCCATCGACATGAACAGCCAGGGAGTGACCGTCCTGACGTTGGCCACCTGGGGGGGAGGGGGTCGACCCGCCGCTGCTGCTTCTGGTCCAGCTGCAGAGCCTGCTGCTGCTGCTGCTGGGGCTGCTGCTCCGGGGCACCAGCCCCAGCCCCCTTGTCTGTACTACCAGCAGGCAAGCCACCCCTACCATGGGCACCTCCCCCTCCTCTGCTACCTCTGTCGCGCCCAGCCTTGGGGCGACGACCCTTACTAGGACGAAACTGCACTGCGGTGGCGGTCTCCACAGCCGGAGCCGTCTCAGCAACCGCAACAGAACCGTCGGAGTAAGAGCATCGAGCAGGGGCAAAGCCCTGAAAGATAGAGACTGGCATGGTATCGCTAGACTAGGCAGTAGAGCGCTGACGAGTCTCTATGGCTGATAGGTTGTCGACAAAATCAGTGAGGTGAGGTCAGCGAGGTGGAGACTAAGGAAGTGATCGCGAGCGGTGGTAAGGCGGTCAGGGAGGCGGGTGGCAAGCAGGTAGAGCGTAGAGCAGATGGAGGGCTGAAACACACAAAGCTGGGCTTCAGTGCAGGCAGCGCGCCAGGTCGTGTCTAGCGTGCACAGCTGGGCGGCTAGGTCAACGACGGTGGGAAAAGACGCAAGGTCAGGAAAGAGCATGGGCAGGATCAGGCGACCTACGGAGGCAAAGGGCGGGCTGGAATCACGCGCAACAACAACCTCTAGGAACTCCTGCGCAGTCCTAACTGACCTAAAGCGGGGGCGCTCGTACAGGGGAAGGGCATGACTAATCGCAAGCTGTGCGGCAGCGTCGCGCGACAACCAGACAACACGAGCAAGGGCAGCAACTGCAGCGGACTCACGGTCAGCAGAGGTGGGATCAGCGGGGAGGGCAGCAGGGGGGTCCGGGCAGGGGAAAGTACCATCGATGTGGACGGCTAGCGAGTGGCCGTTCTGCCGCTGACCAGTCAGCTGGCGCTGGTGGTCAACGAGCCACGAGTCGAACTCAATCGGCTGCCCCTCCACATCGAAACGCAAGGCCGAGTCCGCCATCATGGTTGCAGCAGCAGGAGAAAGACAGTATGGGGCCGTGAAGGACGGCGGAAAGCAGTGATGTGCGATGCAGTGCGGTAATGTGCGGTAGAGGGAGGTGCATTACGGTAGGGTGCGGTGCAACGCGGTGCAGTGCGATGTAGAGCGATGCAATGCAGTGTAGTGCAGTGCTGTGCGGTGCAGAGTGGTGCAGTGCGGTGCAAAGCAGTGCAGTACGGTAGCGGGCGGTGCAGCGCGGTGCAAAGGGCCGAGGACGGTAGCGATGCGTCTAGGAGACGGGGACGGCTAGGTGACGGGGCCAGCTAGAAGGCGGGGCCGGCAGGGAGACGGGGCCGATTGGGCGACGAGGCCGGAGAGGCAACGGGTCCGGCTAGGGGGGGGCGGGGCCGGCTGGGCTACGGGGGCCGGCTAGGCTACGGGGGCCAGCTAGGCGAGGGGGCTGGTCGGACGACGGGGACGGCTAGGCGACGGGTTTGAGTGGGCGACGGCGCCAGCTAGGAGGCGGGGCCGACTGAGCTTTGGGGCCGTCTAGGAGAACGGGGCCGGCTAGGACAGCGGGGCCGATTTGGACGGTGGGGCAAGCTAGGAGGCGAGGTCGACGGGGCCGATTGGGCCGCTGGGCCAGCTAGGAGGCGTGGTCGAAAGGGGCCGATTGGGCGGCGGGGCCAGCTAGGAGGCGGAGCCGACGTGGCCGATTGGGCGGTGGGGCCAGCAAGGAGGCGGGGCCGACAGGGCCGATTGGGCGGCGGGGCCAGCTAGGAGGTAGGGTCGACGGAACCGAACAGGCGATGGGGCCAGCTAGGAGGCGGGGCCAACGGGGCCGACTGGACGACGGGGCCTGCTAGGAGGCGGGACCGGCTAGACGACCGGGCAGGCTGGGCTATGAGGCCAGCTAGGCGACGGGGCTGGCTAGGAGATGGGCCAGCACGTGCGGGGCGGCTAGGACCTAGGGCGGAAGCGCTAGGGGGGGGGGGACCTACCTACTCATGATACCACATTAAAGTGAAAAGTGTTTGTAAGAATAATACATACAAGGGTATATAACCTAATGGGTTGTACTCCCTAAGGCACAACCCTATATATTCTACAGTAACATACAATATATGTTGGACACTATCTAGCTTATTATAAGATATACAGACATGTTTGACAGTTCCTTCCTTCCGCGGATGCTGTTGCTGCTGGAGGTGCTGAAGGGGAAGAAACACGGGGGAAAGGGCATGGTGATGCGCGGGGGGAGTAGCGAGAGACTAACAGAGCAGCGGGAGACTAAAGGCATATTCGTGAGTTTAGACTGCTCATTCCGCTCACGAATACGCCCTTACTACACCCTTAGTTTAAACTCGCATGCACCGCGAGAGACTAAGGGCGTATTCGTGAGTTACCGTTATCCCCCGGATATAGGCGCATCCCTTTATTTGGCCCACTGGGCTTATGGAGTGCAAGTGCACCTAGTATATTCGTTATTTGATTATAAGCACACCCATTTAAAAAAAAATGTATTTCGTATAGGCGCATCTAATTTTTGTAAAACAATCGGTGAAACGCGGATTTTTAATATCGTCGTAACCCTCCTAGCGCCTCCCGAACCAGATGCGCACTGTTCGCTCCCTGCCTTGGCTCTGATTGGCTGGAAAATTCAGCCCATTCCAGGTTAGATTTGCTGGCAGAAACTTCGTAGGCCATTTCCAGATGTCAACAGTCCGCCAAGGGGAAACAAACGCGCTAGAACACAAATGTCAAGAGCTACATTTTATGTGCTCAAATTCGTTTTCCATAAAATCCCTCAGTTAAGCCCTGGGCTTATATTTTTTAATCAATTACAAGCGCATTCCACTTTTGCCAGGTATCTCCTATAAGCACATATGCGCCTATATCCGGGGGATTACGGTAGCATCAGAAACGAAATCAGAAACTAAGTCGTGCAAAACCAAACCGAACCTCATTAGACTGCTCATTTCGCTTTTGCACATCACTGTATCGTATGAGTTCGATTCTGGTTCTGATGCTACCTCAGGAATACGCCTCGAGGCAGCAGCGAGAGACTACGGGAGCAGCGAGACCCTGATTAAATTAGATAAACAATACAGGATGTGCAGAGGCAGAGATGCTGCTGGCGGCGCTGACAAGGTCGGAGTGTGTGCAAGCAGCACAGCTTAGGAATGCCCCCAAGCCAGAGCCGATGCCATGCCTGGCGTAGCAGGTCCAGGATACTGCTCCAACAGCTGCTGCCTGCACCCACGGGGTGCTGCTCCATGCTATGCGGTGCGGTAGCGGCAGCTTGCAGTGGGCGGGGTGAAGGGTCAGGTGTCATGTGAGAGCAGTCAGTGGTTAGTTGCCGGGATGGACAATCGCGCGCTCATCGCCCCATAAGGTGCTGTCACGGCTGCCTGCGTTCATTTCTATGGGGGTTAGAGGTAAGAGCTGGTAAGAGCTGGCTGTATGGCGGCCCTGTGCTGCTCCATATATCCCCAGCAGGTCACGAGCCAGCTTGTGTGAGGCATGGGCGGGCCGCAGCAGGCGAGGAGGAGGAAGAGGAGGGGCAGTCGGGCGCGAAGAGCACCTCCATGCAGAAGCTGCTGTCGCACGCCCGCAGCAGCCGCCCCGACGGCTTGTCCACCTCGCCCAACGACAGCTGCTCGCACATGGGGGGGGGGCGGGGGGAGGGGGTGAAGGGGGGAGGGGAGGGGGGTAAAGGTGGTCGGGTGGAGGGGAGGGTGGGATAGGGAGAGTGTTTGAGGGTGGTACTGGGAAAGGGCTGGGGATGATGGTGGGAGACGGACAAGCAGGCATGTTGGAGAGAGGGAGAGAGCAGGAAAGCGAGGAGAGGGAGGGCGGTAGAGGGAGAAAAAGGTAGCAGGATAGGGCGGAGGGGGGGAGAACGGCAGTGGGAGGGTAGGAAATGGAGGAGAGGGAGAGTGGTGAAGGGAAAGAGAGAGCAGGAAGGGAGAATGAGAGTGATAGAGGGAGGGAGAGAGCAGGAAAGGGAGAACGGTAGAGGGAGGGGGGGAGTGGTGGAGGGGGGGAGAGAGTGGTGGAGAGAGGGAGAGAGGAGAGGGCGTGGGAGCTGACGGAGAGGAGTCCTTTGGTGAAGGCGGTGTTGAAGCAGACGGCAAAGAGGCGCGACCCCATGCTGTCCGTGAACCGCATGCTCACATCCCCCTCCACCTGACCGCACGCCGCAAGCGAGGGCAAAGGGCGGACAGCAGATGGAGCAGAGGTAAGAGCTGGTAGCAATAGGCTTGACAGACAGTCAAAATGATCTTGGTGCAAGGTCACAAGGACGCGCGAGGAGGAAGAGCAGAATAATGCGCAGAGCACGGAGTGCAGAGAACAGAGCACAGAGCATGGGGCCGTACAGTGAAGGGCGGGTCGAAGAAGTGTTGGAGGGGCGGGTGGTGTGGGTCGGACGGCCTCTCCGTGTCCAGTTGGGCCATGGACGCCCGCCGCACCTCCCCTGCTCGCACCACCTCGCCTCCCTTCGCCTCTACCGCCACTGCTGCAGCAGGAGCAGCAGCAGGAGGGGCAGGAGGAGCAGCAGCAGCAGAAGGAGCAGCAGCAGGAGTGGCACGAGGGGCAGCAGGAGGAGCAGCATCTGCAGGGGAAACAGGCAGAAGGTTGTTTCTGTCGAGGGCGAGCGTTTTGCGCAGCGCAGGGCGAGTGATGAGCCAGTGCACGAAGGTGGTCGCAGTGCTGGCCACCACGCCCATGTGCGCCTTCTCACACGTGCCCTTGCACCGCTCCACTGGCGCACTGTACCGCTCCTTGTCCGCCTGCCATGCCATGGCACCACACACCACATCGCACAACATGCATTGTGTATCTTGTATCATGTGTCATGCACGACACATTGTGGTTTTGCAGAGTGCATCATGCATAGCCTCTATCCCAATTCGCTTTCCCCTGCATTTCCTTGAATCACACATGGCACACGAGCCACACTCAATCTGGTCCACTGAATCCCGATCCCACAACACTGTCAATCACAGCATGTGCACAGACCCTCACCTACCCACGGCAACTTAGGCAAACACAGTACCTCGTCAAGAGTGCAGATAACGAAGTCCACTCTATCGAGTCCAGTCATGCCATAGAGGCGAATGCGGCGTACGGTGCGCGGGGTGGGCGGGGGTAGTGTGATGGGCGCAGCATTGCGCTGCGCATCGGCTATGAGCCGCGCCCAGTACCGCACGTAGCGCACCTGGCTGGGGATCGTCACCTGCTCGCCACGTGGCACGCAGTAAGTGGACGGCAAGAAGGGAGAGGTATGGGGAGAGAGGGGGACAGAGAGGGCGAACAGGGAGGGGGGCAGGGAGGGAAGACAGAGGGAGGGACAGGGAGGAGCGAGGGAGGGTTGAGGCATGGGCATGGAAGTAGGGTGCGCACGGGTCGTCGACTAGATGGGACGAGGGGCCAAGGCACGTCACTTGAGTGGCGGGGGTTAGAACAGAAGGAACGAGGGAGGAACGGGGTGTGGTGGGGGGAAGGAGGGGAGTACGGCGGTATCTCACCCCGGCGTTATTGAGCGTGCGTCGTTGGGCGTAGAGCGCGAGCGCATCGTCCGTGGTCATGCCAGCGAGCAGCAGCAGGCAGCACACCATCACGCCCGTCCTCCCCTTGCCCGCCTGCACACGCGCACGCGCACACATGGGGTCGCGGGTCCTTGTTCTGTAGGTCTTCTCACCAACGGGCTGTTCGTCGCAGCACGGTCGTGGAATGGAAAGACAAATGCGGCAGGAAGAGGCGCGCTTGCGCGCACAAGAGAGCGCAAACTTCGAGCGTACTTGAACGGTCGCGTGAGAAAGAGCGAGGAGGGGGGGGGATGCGTAGAGGGGGGAAACACGGGGGGGCGGGGGGGCGGTGAGGGGAAGAGCGAGTGAGGCCGGGGGCAGGAGCGGGCAGGTTGCACCTTGCAGTGCACGACAATGATGTTGTCGTCGCTGCGGTCCAGCCAGTCCTGCGCGCTCTCGCACAGCGCCATCACCAGCTCCAGCGCCGGCACGCCGTGGTCGTCGAACGGAAACCGCTCCACGCGCCCGCCGAACACCGCCGGGTCGTACCACTGCTCCGAGCACAGGTTGTACACCTGCCATGCCGCGCGCGCCGGGCGCCATGCCAATGCCGCAGCGAGCGGAGGGGAGCATTCGTTAGCGGCGCAAATTGCTTTCGCTACGAGGATCGCGGGAGTATGTTGCGGCGAGCTAGCGGAAGAGAACACGGGAAGCACTTTAGCGTGTAGAGGGGCGAGGGTTGGGTGAAGGGAGGGGAACACGGGAAGAGCAGGGCGAGGTGGCACGGCGGGGGGGAGGAGGCGGGGCGGGGAGGCACCTTGAAGTGGTGGGCGTGGTTGGCGGCGAGGAAGCGCTGCACCTGCCACATGGGGTTGCGGAACATGGCCTCCAGGCTCTCCGCCGGGTACGACATCGCCACCACGCGCTCCGTGATGTAGCTCAGGTCCAGGTCGTAGCCGTCGCGGATGTAGCGCCGCCGCTTCATGGACACCAGGTGCCGCAGGTACTCCAACATTACCACTCATGGGGCGCCGGGCGGCACGCGGCACGCGCGGGCCGGCTTTGATTGGGGATAGACCGGAGCGTGGAGACAGATAGGGGGAGGAAAGCGTTGCGATGCGAGCTGCAAGTGGCGGAAAGTCGGTCGGCTAGCACAGGTGTTGGCTGGTTGTGGCGACCGAGCTTCGTTGCTCTGGCAGGACGGATGGTCGATGGCGCGAAGGGCTGGAGAGGAGGGATGGCGGCAGGGCAATCAGGAGAGCAAGTGGAAGGGGTAGGGGCGCGCTGAAAGTGGGTGGGGGACAGCAAGAGTGAAGGGAGGAACCCCCGGATTCGCCTCCGCGCATCTGCGCTATGCTGTACCCGTGCACAGGAAGCACTTAGCTGCGTGCGCCAAATGGGGTAAGGGGGAAGCATTTCGCCGAGTCTTGGCGGTACCGTGGGCGCAGAGCAAAGCGCAGCCCAAAAGACAGCTACAGTTCGGCGAGGAATCGGTGCGCGCAAGGGAGTGACACACGACTTTCAACTCAAAATCGTTCGTTTCGCTTCGTCGTGCATCTCTAGCCACTCCGCGGCGAGGGGTGCCATTCTCGAAATATTTCTAGCCTGTCGCATAACCTTCAGTAACTGGTGAGTTTGACACGTACACCTGTCCTCCGCCAATTTCTCTGGCGGCTTCTGGCTTCTCCCGATGGGCGGTCATTAGAGCGCATAATTGTCTTGTTGCAAGTTGTATCTCCCTCATTTATCGACATCGTCGCGTTGTTGGGCGTTCTCCACTGTTATAAATTAATCAGAGTAATAACCGGTAGTGTAATAAAGGAGTCTTGATTCAAGAGTGGCGATACAAATGAGGGCCTAGGCATTTATAGGCACGAACAGAGCTAGCCGAGAACCACGCAAACAGGTTGGGGCGGTCCAGTTGGCGAAAGATACGGAAGCGCCACACGTCAAGGTTTGGGTTCTCGAAGTGGTTCGGGACCGAAGAAGTTGGCCGAGCCTGTCAGAGAGTCGAGGGCGTACGCGCTTTAGTTGAGCCCAATAAGGAAAAGGGAATTTCCTTATATCACCCTCCCCTTCGGGATTAGACTACCCACATCCGGGACACGTCGTTGGTGTAAATAGTCCCGGACAACTCTGTTTTCACCAAGCGTGGCTGCGGGAACCCAGAGGTCGTCGTCACATGTATCATCGACCCAGCGTACAAGGAAATCGACGGCTGCTGTGTCTCGATGTCCCCGTATACGATGAGCGAGGATCTTGGACGGCGCTGTCGTCGGCTCGGGTACTGGGTTAACCATAGGATTACTATTTTGACAGTCGAGATTGGTCGCACTCGGGACGAACGGTCGAAGGAGAGTGACGTAAAACGAATCATGAATTCTCCAGTTAGTCGGCAGTTGCAGCTGGGCGGTAACTGGTGTCACCATGCGGATGATGCGGAGGGGGCCGCAAAATCTTGATCGTAATTGATTTGGGAGGGGGATTCCCAAATTCCTGGTGTCGAGCAGGACCAATTGCCTATGGAACTGTGTTAAGTTTCGGCGTCGTCGGTCAGCTTGTTGTTTAGCCCTCTGGTTGGCTTTTAGCATGTCATCGGCGGCTTTTTGTTGAGATTGTCGGAGATTTTCGAGGACCTTGGTGCCAGATTTTCTATCAGTGGCGATAGAGGGGTTGTCGAACCTATCCCATAATTAAGGAAGAACGGGGAGTGAGTAGTCGTGGCCGATGGGTCATTGTTGTACGCAAACTCGATCAAGGGAAGGGCGTCTTCCCATTGGGCCGAGTCTGTAAACGTCGTGCGAATCAGCTGCTCCATCGTCTGGTTGGTGCTGTGCTCAGTCTGACCGTCCGATTTCGGGTGGTACGCCGTAGACAGATGCAGACATGTGCCGTACTGCTGCCAGTTTTTTGTAAAAATATCGGAAGTCAACCGTGGGTCATGATCGCTGATGATTGCCGATGGGATGCCGTGAAGTCGCACGATGTTAATGAAAAACAGTTTCGTTGTCTACTCGGCAGTAATTGTCGTCTTGTAGGCGACGAAATGGGCCATTTTGGTCAACTGGTCAACGACGAGAATCGCGTCGTTACCGCTTGTTGCCAGGGTCGGCTGGGTGCCTCAAATGGCTGCAGCAATCCAGCTAGTCGAAGTCGGGAAGACTTCATGCGTTGACACATGGCGTAGGAGGTGACGTACCGCTGCACGTCTGTCGACAAATCGGGCCAGTAATAATTACGGCTCAGTAATTTTGCGGTTTTGTCGATGCCGTAGTGATCTGAGAAATTCAAATCATGTGCCTCCTAGATCAGTAATTCCCGTAGGGTACGGTAGGCGGGAACCCAAATCCAATCGGAACCAGATTTTAGATAATAGACCCCTTGCTTGACCGTCAGTTGGGGATGACTGTTAGTGGTGAAGATGGGTCAGTACTGTATCCGTAGGTGAATAGGCCAGTTCTTAGCAAGTGAATTTGGGTAATTAGGACTGCGGCGGTATAAAATGATATTGCTGACCGCTCGTTCCTAGGTGACTCTACAGTGGAAATTGGACTCGAGGTAGTCGAGCTAGCGAATCTGTCGAGGATTTACAGTGGCAGGAAAATTTGTCCACATGTTTAGCATGTTTTTACATTTTGACGAGTTGTACGCTGTAAACATTAAGCCTTAACCCATGGTGGCCATACACGTAGAGAAGAGCAGTTAGAGCACTCACTTAAGTCTCCTAAAACCAGAGTAGTATATTAAATGGTCCTTCAATACGACAGCATTTAATAACAGCACATCTAGACAATTTGTACCGAGGACAGGCAGCAAACTAGTTACTAGCAAAACAATTACCTAGTCCAGTATCCCTTTGCATGGATCACCGCGTTTATCCTCCTTGGCATACTGTCAATGAGGTTTGAGCACACTTCTGCCGGAATCTTGTCCCATTCCTCCTGCACCCTCTCCCACAGCTCAAACGTTCCACGGGGAGGCTTGTCGTACTTCGCCATCTCCCTTTTCAAGTGTGCCCACAGGTGCTCTATCGGGTTAAGGTCCGAGGAGGACGATGGCCATTCCAGCATTGTATACTCCTGCTCCCCAAGCCAGTCTTGCACCAGACGTCACTTGTGCTTGGGATAAATATCGTGCTGGAATATGACATCTGACGGGCAGAGCTTGTAAAAATCGATGGTTTGAGACAGTTCGTCTTGCAAGATGCTGCGATATAGCGGCCCATCCATCCTTCCATCGATTTTGCTCATGAATCCCGCCCCCTCATACGTCATGCAACCCCACACCATCACACAGCCGCCCCCATGCTTAACTGTCTGCTGGATTTGGTGGCTCTGGAGTTTGCTGCCCGCGCGAATCCAGGCGTACGCACGTTCGTCGGAGCAGAAGCGATTAATCTTCGTCTCATCGGACCATATCACGCGCTTCCAGTCCTCCATTGTCCATTCAGCATGAGACCTCGCAAAATCCAGCCGGTCTTGTATGTTTTTTGCAGAGAGCCTGGGTTTCTTGGGCTGCTGCACAGCGATCAGACCCGCGGATCGTAACGAGTTCCTAACGGTCTTCGAGTCTACAACCAGAGCGTGCTTCTCCTCTAGCATCTTCATGGCGTCCACACTAGTTTTCGCCTCCCCGCTGGTAATCGCACGAACTATACCGCGCTGGAGGCGTGTTATAATTAGCCGTGGACGGTCGGCCATGGGCATTGTAGGTCGCACCTCTTCGAGACTAGTCTCGGCAATCGCCTTCAGCCCGTAATAATAGATTTTTGCCTATGCTGAGCTCCTTGGCTATTTTCCTAGTCGACAGCCCCTTGCGCAACATGCTTACGATACGCGTGCGCTTCTTCTCATCTTCCGGCTGCATCGTGCTGCGGTCGCAAGTTAACTTCTGGCCTAACTCCTATACTAACGGTTGCGCGAAATGGTATGAACGTTAAGTGGCGAGCGAAATCAGATCTAGGCTGTCGCTCGGTATGAACTGTCCGCATCTACTGTCGATGAGTAAATCTCATCCTCGCTAACTGGATGAGGGACAATCGCGCCAAGCTGTATACGGTGGAAACAAAACTCGACAAACTTGTAACACGACAAAAAATAACGGTGTTACTATATTTGAAACATGTGTTGCAAAGCGCTAAGTTTTAAATTGTTGAACATCTGGGCAATTTTTCCAGCCACTGTAGTATCAGTTGGGCGCGGATGAACTGTAGCGACTTGTGGTCTGTTCAGACTGTTACGTCAGCACCCGTCAGGTAGCAGTGCCAGACTTTGAAAGCGTGAACGATGGCGAGTAACTCCTTCTCATGGACAGGATAATTTCGCTCGGCTGGGTTCAGCTTTCGTGACTCGTAGGCGATCGGTTGTAGGCCTTCGCCGAAGTCTTGTAACAGGACTACGCCAACGGCCAGATCGCTAGCGTCGGTGATGAGCTCAAATGGACGGTGAGGATCTGCAATCCGAAGATCCAACGGTTTAGTCAGGAAAAGTTTGAGCTTTACGAACGCAGCCTGCTGCTCTCCCCCCCACTAAAACAACGTGCCCTTCTTCGGGAGATCCGTGAGAGGGGAAGTTACCTCGACCATGTTCGGAATGAAACGGCGGACGTAATTAACAAACCCCAGAAAACTTTAAAGTTCGCAGAGATTAGCCGACGACTTCCAGTCTTGGATTGTCGGAGTTTTCTTGGGGAAGATTTTAACACCGTTAATGGAAATCAAGTGACCCAAGAACTCCAGTTCGTGTTTTGAATACTCGCACTTAGAGCCCTTGGTGATGAGTCGGTTCTACTGTAGGAGAGAGAAAACTGCTTAAATGCTGCTCCCGGGTTGTGCTGTAGACGAGGATGTCGTCGAGGTACACGATGACGCACTTATCCAGTAGTGGCCAAAAAATCTCGTTCATGGTCAACTGGAAGGTCGAAGGCGTGTTTGTTAAGCCTAAGGGCATGATCGTATACTCATAACTCTCGTACCGTGTTCGAAACGCCGTCTTGTAGCAGTCTGCTTCGTGCACGCGAAGCTGGTGGTAATCGCTTCGTAGGTCAATCTTTGAGAAAAATCTGGCCCCGCGAAGTTGGTCGATGAGGTCGTCTGCACGTGGAATGGGGTAGCGAGATTTGATGGTAACTCGATTCAAGGCGCGGTAGTCGATACACATACGCAGACCGCCATCTTTCTTCGGTGTGAATAGGATCGGAGCTGCAAATAGTGAGGTGCTAGGGCAGACGAAAGCTTTCTTGAGCAGGTAGTCCAGCTGGCGTCGAAGTTCATCTAACTCGGGCTGAGTCGGCAGCCATTGTGTGAGAGTACGACCCCGTTACACTAATTTCCCCTTTCCATATTTTCTATCTATTTCATTCCTCTTCCACTCGTGATTCATTTGGTCTTTATCTCATCGCATTTGGTTTCCTATTCCTCCTTTTCCACTATCCTTTGGTTTATCATGTTATTATAATTATATCACTGACCAGGCTCGGGATGTATTGGCGCGCTATATCTAGCGTAATCCTGCCGTAATCCCTTAAAGCCAATAGCCTCGCGTGGCTATACGCATGGTGATTCTATTTCTAGAAGGGTCTATTTCCTTTAGATAGGATAAACCTGGTTACCTGATGTACTCTGGAAGTATAAAAGCACCTTGTACTGAATGATAGTGCAACATTGAGCAAACCTTTCCTCGGGACATTCGATCCTGTGACACTTGGTATCAGAGCCAAGGGTTCAGCTCAACGCTTAACCTCTGGGCCCCCAGGAGCACGCGGAGGATGGAGTCGAAACTTCAATTCCTGTAAGTACAATGCACTTTCATTTAAGTTTCGACTCACCTCTCGCAGTTGCACCTGGGGTCCCCTTCGAAGGCGAGATGCCTCGCCAACCGTTGGATGGACTGCATCGACGGTGCCGATTTTTCTCGGGGGCAAACGGCCTCGACCTCACGAACGCGTCACTTCTGGCGGAACACTCCCTGCGGCATTCCGAGGAGTTCGCAGTTCGCGACGACACTTGGAGTTGCGCGGAAATTTGCGGAGCTGCGACCGACGACATCCGTCCGATGGAGATTCGACGTTTCAGATCGACCGAGGCGAAAACGAAATCCTGCTGAGCGAGTTCGAGTTGCGGCGCGAATGGGAACAGGACCTCGCAAGCCGCGAAATTCTTCGGAGCGTTGGATCGATCGACAGCCGACATCGACGACCGAAAATTGCTGCAGGAAACGAGTCGACCCGTGCACCGAAAGCTGCTGAACGTGACTCAGGAATGTCTTCAGATCGCTTGGAGTTTGGACCGTCAGAGACCGTTTTTGTCATGAGACCGTTTTTTGTCATGAGACCGTTTTTTTGGTATAGGTGACTCGCACGTGAGGCACGTGCTCCCGAATCGCCAGTGGGGTGCCGTCAACCAACCTCATGTCGATTTCCTGCATTCAGCGTTCCAGCTGCAATCGGAGTTTCTTCGCCTTTATCACATCCATCAAACTGTGACTTGCCCCACCATCAACAAATATTTTGATGCGGGTGTCGCCAACTCTTCCTTCAACCAGCATAGGGCGATCAACCGGTTCACCCCCCTTATTCAGCCAGGAATGGTCGAAAGCCCAAATTGGCACTATAACCTAGAGGGGGTGTTGGCGTTTGGGAGACGCAGTCAAGTGAGTAGGTGGCCCATCTGCTACTTACGATCTCCCTTTCCTGACTGCTTTCCGTCGTTAGCTAAGTTCTTCTTCAGGTGCAGGTAGTTCCTCACCATGTGGCCCAACTGGTTGTAGTGGAAACAGCAGCCGAAAAATACCCGAGCTGCAAACACGTCCACGCCGTTGATTGATGTGTGTTGAGGCTGGCCTCGAAAGCGATTCCCCTCCCGGAAACCCGCCCTCGCAAGTCCACGCCTTGCGTCCAGCGCATCCGTGATTCGGACAATTTTGTTGAATGTTGCCGAGGCTCGCAGGACGATCTCTTGCCGAATCTTTGGTCTTGAGACCACCCACGCAGCGATCAATCTTCTCGTCTTCGTTAAGCCCTCAGATTTGATCGCATAACGCCAAGAATGAAGCCGTGTATTCTTGGACATAGCCCAACTATCTCCACATCCGAAGCCTTGTGCGAGCGTTTTCGCGCATGGATATGTGCTCAAATCAGCTTTTCAATGCTTTGCCCCACGCTTTCCACGTGCGGATCACGGCCGACCCAATGATCGGTTCTGCTTGAGCCGTTGATGAACCGTGCTCCCCATCTACCGCCCATTGATTCCCTGCCGAGGCTCCTCCCACGTCTAGATGCAAGCGCCACCAGTCAAGTGCCGGTCCCCTACGCAACGACACAACCAAGATGACACGTTGTGATTAATACTTGCTGATGTGAAGAAGTTTTCCATGGCGAACAGCCAACCGCTCACTGTAGTCATTCTGTCGGTCGGGTTGAACGGCGGTAGCATCGGAGGTTTGATTTTAATGGCTACCCGCAGCTCGCTGTGGACTTCTTCAACTGCTTACGGTATCGCCAATGCCCTCGCCTCGCTCGCAGCATCTTCGTCTCGGGTAACCGGCCGCCCCTGATGTGTTTCACCCTGCGTCTGGCGAAGCGACGAGTTTTCATTAAGCAGCATCTGCACTTCGCTTCCCAGTGACTCGAACTTATCGGCGAGTTGCTGAAGCTGGGCCTGCAATGTCATCACTATAGCCGCCCTCCCTTGCAACTCGTCAAACTCCGCCTCTCCTCTTCACCAACACTTTCCTCCGCTGGTCCTTTCACACACTTGAACCCTGAGGGAAGACGAGTAGCCACATGACCTTCACTCTTCCCAAAGTTTGCAGCCAAGGCCTCCAAGTACTTCTTTTGATGCACTCGCATCCACCGCTTCTCCACATCTCGCTCAATGTGAAGCCCAAGGTAGTAGTTGACGTCACCAAGGGTCTTGCACTCGAACTTGTCTTGAAGCTTCAGTATCACATCCTTCACAAGGTCAGAGGAGGGTGAGAATATGAGGATGTCATCCACATAAACCACCATGAAGCTCCTCTGCTCCCCCTCGCCAAGCATGAACAAGGATTGATCGGCTGTTGAGGGAGTGAAGCCGATCGCCTCCAAGACTTCCCACACCTTGATGTACCATTGCGTAGGGGCTTGCTTGAGGCCATAGAGTGCTTTCTTCAGCTTCCACACTCTGCCACTCCCATCATTGTACCCCACTGGCTGCTCCATGTAGGTCTCTTCCTCCAAAACTCCGTTGAAGAAGGCCGTTACTATATCCATTTGCTTCACCACCCATCCTTTGATGGCCGCCGCGGCGAAGAGGGTTCGAAGGGTTGTATCTTTCATCGCAGGGGCATACACTTCATTTTAGTCCTTCTCTTGCTGCTGATACCCCTTGGCTACAAGTCTGCTCTTGTAGCGCTCAATGTTGCCGTCGGCGTCGGTCTTGTGCTTGAAGATCCACTTGGAAGAGATCGCCTTCCGCCCCGGAGGAAGGTTCACCAAGTCAAATGTGTCGTTCTCTATGATGCTCCCCATTTCTTCATCTGAGACCTTCTTCCACTCCTTCCCATTGGGGCCGTCCGAAGCCTCCTTGGGATTTGTAGGCTCCCCCGGCATCTCCACCGGAGAGAAGAAGGCAAAAGCGCACTCCTCGCTTTCAACTTCCGCATCATCGCCTAGCATGAGAGCCGAACCGGTCAAGGTTGAGTTAGCTGCTCCTCCAAGCCAGTCATAGCTCAACCTATTGGTGGGCTGAGTCCTCCTTCTCCCCCTTCCTTCCTCCTCTGCTGCAGGGACTTGAATGCTCTCATGGCGTTGCGGTAAATCTGGTCGGTTCCCGCGAGCACTTGTAGTACGAGGCGGAAGTGACGGTGCACGCTCATCACCTTGCTGCACCTCCTCCTCCTCTTCATCCCCATTCATTTGAGGAGATTGCCTTGTGATTGTGCTGCTGCGACTCAGCTCCAAGGGCAGCTCCACATGCTCCAAGCCGGTACTCTGCACCACGCCCGTAGCCATTGTTGTTGTTGTTGCTGCCATATCCTCCTTTACCACGGCCTCCATTGAAGTAGCTGCTTTCAAATGTGCCTCCTCGCCCTCTGCCCCTTCCACGGCCGTGTCCACGGCCCATGCTTGCAACTCCGGCACCATCGGGACCCACCAATTCGCGACAGCGGAAATCTTCTTGTAAGATTTCCTACTTCACATCTTCGAGTGAGAGACAGGGCAGATCTTGGTTTAGGTTGATGATGAGCGAGGACCATGAGTCCGGAAGTAAGGCCAGCAGCTTGGTCTTCTTTTGAAGGTCACTGTAGTTCAGGTCAGCTCCTTCGAGCCGTGTCAACAAGTCGTAGAATTTCTGCACTCCATCCTCTACCGGTTCCCCTTAGCCATTAGCCGAAGTGCTGCCATTAGCCGCTCCAAAACCACAGCCACCGTCGCTGTTGCAAGAGCGTGTACACCCTTGAGAGCAGCCGATGCCTTTGGTCCCTTTGCTGGTTCACGCTGAAAAGGCTTGATGTGACGGAATTGGCTGCTCCCCAACGCTTGCCCAAGTAGAAGTTAGCCTTGTGCGCTCTTCCGCACCCACGGGAAGTGCTGCCATTAGCCGCTCCAAAACCACAGCCACCGTCGCTGTTGCAAGAGCGTGTACACCCTTGAGAGCAGCCGATGCCTTTGGTCCCTTTGCTGGTTCACGCTGAAAAGGCTTGATGTGACGGAATTGGCTGCTCCCCAACGCTTGCCCAAGTAGAAGTTAGCCTTGTGCGCTCTTCCGCACCCACGGGCTCTTCTCCGTGTCGTTCTCGGGTCGCTTCTCCGTTCCTTCCATCACCTCCAGCAGATCATAGTGGTCAAAGATGTTCTCCATCTTGAAGGACCACTCAGCAAAGTTGTCACCGTTGAACTTGTCAAGGCCAAACACTCTAGGCTCATCCCTAAAGGGCCCAAGGCTAGGTTGCACCGGAGCAACGGGTGGATCTTGGTGTTGACCTTGTGCTTGGGCGTCTTCTCTGCCTCCAACACCTCTGCCACCCCCTTTCTCAGCTCTAGGCATGGTAGAAGTCGCTCCAAGGGGCTCTGATACCACTTGTTATGATCACAATAGGCTCAGATGTGCCTATAATGAGAGATAGTGAGCACAGTCGGATTTCCATCAAACAACTTCAAATATTGATAATGATTTCCTCGCTTACTTAAACGGTAATCTGTAAGTTGGATCTAGAGCTCACTGCTGTCATCTATCAATAGCAATTTGAATCATGAAATTCCATAAAGATTTGACAACACAATGGCGGTTTGACTGGCAGAAGGTGTTACAGACACTATAGTCTTGGAAGTACAAACTTAGCAAGAAGAATTCGAGATGGAGATGATTCCCAGCCTCTACATACCCCAAGAGCGGAGGTCCTGCTTGGTGGTACACCACCACAGAGTACCCAACCATAAAGAGTCTCGAAACAAACCCTCCAAGAGGCTACACCAAGTGAAATGTAACACTACATTAAGTAGCGTTACTATTTTCACTATTTAATATTTATCCGTGTCCCTTGGGCTTGAAATCTTGAGCTCTTGGTCGTGGTTCAGCAAGATCAATTCTTCTTGAGTTGATGGGGGCTTGCTGCACACACCTGCGACATGATGGACACTTCACACTCGACAAAATAGAAAAAACACATGCGACATGCACACGACGACTTGACATGCGAGTTGTAAAAACTCGCTAATGTCTTGACCAACACAAACCACATTGTGATACACCATTCAAACACACACACAAGCACTAGATAGCAATAACACAGACTCACAATTCATTCCATGCCATGCATGCACACACACAAACAAGGACGACAAGCCGAGTGCAAGCCATAGGGTTGCACGAACAGCCAACCCCTATATAACCTCGTCCCTTCCTTGCAATAGCGACCTTGTATTATCACGTTATAGTATATTGACACTTCATGTACCATAACAAATCCAGTCGAATGGCGAGCTAGGGGGTTTTGCCACATCATGACAAAAAAAAAACCTAACATCATCCTGTGGCGAGTGAAACACGGCAGATTTCATCGCCACGTCGGATTTCATTTCCGCCTGGCAGTTGCGCCCGATGAGGCGAAAAAATGGGTTTTTGGTTGTTAGGTTACTGTTATTAGCCATCCGCGCATAGAAGTCAAATTTAACGCACTCAGAGGATGGTTTCGTTGCTTTTTGAGCAGCGAGTGGAGATTTAGCATTCATCCAAGTAATTTTTTCTCTCATTTGACCACGTTTCACAATTTCATTGGCTACATACTCTACCCCATCATTTCGCTGCTCTCAGCAACTGTTCCTTGAAAACCTCAACTACAGAGCACGTCGCTCAAAGGACCTAGAAACAGAACGAGCCTCGGGTGCCGTCACTTTCTGACGGCAATTTTTTCTGCGAACTTATTTTCCAGACGGATAAAACATGACGACAATACTCAATATGTGATTGCAAATTAGTGCGATAGGATTGTTTCACTTATATTTCATTTCGACATTATGTAATAATATTTTGGTTACAATTATATTTACAACTCATGAATTTCTAACCATACATTATCAATTATTTATATCATTCGAGAAAATTGTCAAAACCTGGTTGAATATTTTCAAAATAACTTCACATCTTATATTTTTTACAAATTGGACCATACTTTCTATACGTCCAAGCCAGGCCTAACGTTTTTTTTTTTTTTTTTAAAGGCACTTTGAGCCAACCCCCCTGGAAAAAAAAACGTATATATATGTAAATATATGAAAGGCCATCAGCCAAAATTCTGGTAGTCTGAAATGTCAGAGTCTAGAACTACTCTGATTTTCTTAGGGTCTAGTGAGGACAAGCACTGTCGAAAATTGAGAGTGAAAATTGTGAAACTTTTAAGGTTTACCCCTACTTAACAGAGTCTCAAGCAACTTTGGGTCAAAGTTGCATTCGTAGGCTAATTCGTTGGGAAGAAAACTCCAAATGACACGATCACCCTAACGATGTGTCTTTTTGGAACACACCTCAACAGCCAAGATCGAAATTTGAGGAGGGCGCTCGTGTCGCAGACATGAGGAGATCTGCCGAATATCCTAGCGAGGCTGGCGAGGAACGAGGGAAGGTTAACAGTATCTTGATTTGCTTACGTATCCAGCTCACCTTCCATCGCTCGTCATGAGTCACGGGCAGCCCCCCTGCGTGTGCTGCCAAAGGCTACCTGGGCAGCAACAAAGACCCTGTCCATACTTCTAGAAATTTCAGCTGGGCTCGGGTTGCGGAGGGTGGGAAGAAATATCTCTACGGTTGAAGACCTAGTCACTGTTGTGGGGGGTGTTTCGATTGGGGGGGGATATATCGGTACAATAGGACTTGGCAGAATTCGAGGGGTTATAGGTGATGTGGAAGGGGGGTGCCTGAGAATTATTATTTAGAAAAAAATTGGGTTGTTTGGAGTGTTAGGCTGACTGTGTCTGACAACAGGACTTAGCTGAAAAATTTTATGTGTTGTGGGGTGTGCGAGGGATGTCTCTAGCGTTCGAGGACTTGGGGAGGGGAGGGGATATGTCTTGTTTGGGACACTATTCCCAGCAACGAAAATGCAAACTAGGAATTGATGGAAATTTGAACTCTTTTTCATAATTCTTTCTTTTCAAGTATTATGTTGTAGTTGTAATTGTTAGGATTAAGGACGGAGTCTAGGTGAACTTAGGAGTAGAATTACTCAAAATATAAATCCGAAATTCTGGATAGAAAAGTCGTCTTCACAAGAAACGGCGTCGACAACAAATTAGCCGTTGGAATGTCGCGAAACTTGGATATGTTGTAGCTCTTAATCTCAGCTACCGTTCCCAATTTGAATCACGTTGATTGATGAAGTATTCGTGACGCTATGGCTTTCGACGCATTAGGGAGTAAGCTGTAGGAGGAGAACTTAACTCAATCTCAAAAGTTCAATTGAAGTTCAAGAATCTCAAAAGGAATTAGAGGAGCAAGAGAAATGTTGGTATAGAAGAGAGGGATGAGAGGAAAGGTCCCAAGAGAGTCCCCAACCAAGGAAACCCCATAAGCACAAAGATTCCCTCCCTATAGGAACCCCAACTTTGACATTTGTCCCTTCCCAACCAATCCAACCAAGTTGGCCACCCTTGCCAACCTAGCTTGGTGGTTCCCAACCAATTTTGCAGCTGCTATTGTAGAGTGACGAATTTCCCCAACCCCAAAGGTCCCAACTCCGTATAGAGTCACCCCACAACTTCACTTTGTAACCGCCGCAATTGTAACGCAAGCTCATGAACTTTGAATCTTCATAGCTTTCGCGTTCTTGCTCCGATTGAAGCGATTCTTGTTGCGTCGTTAAGATCTTCTCAAGATCTATCATCACAAATACCTGCTCAAACAAAAATAACACAAAACATATTCCCAAACTCCATAACACGCACCACACACAAATTCTTGCACACGCTCAAACCACGCATGCAAGTTGAAAACATGGGATGGGAGGCAGACAGAATGTGATAGCATATGATGTCATCACATAACAATCTCCCCCTCTGGCTGCCAACCATCATCCACCATACCAACATCTCAAGCATGCATACTCAATGCACACTCCTCCCAGTAAGCTTCATGCCCTTCCAATGATCCGCCTCTGCCAGACGCTTAATGAAAATATCTGCTGCTTGCTGATGGGTCTTCACTATCTCCAGCCGCACCTCCTTATCAAGGACTCTCCTCATCCAATGCCATTTAGGCCTTATGTGTTTTGTCAGCCCATGCAGACAAGCATTCTTGGCCAGCTTCACTGCAGACTCATTGTCACAGAAGATCACCGTCGGCTCCTTCTGACCAACTCCCAACTCCTCCAACAAGCGCCTGAGCCACACCACTTCCTTGGCCCCATGGTGTAAGGCCATGTACTCAGTCTCACATGAGGACAATCCCACCTCATTCTGCTTCTTCCTGCGCCAGCTCACAGCACCACCTCCCAGCAAGCACACATAACCCCCAATGCTGGTGCCATCCGCTTTCACTGAGTTGAAGCTAGCGTCAGTATAGCAACTCAAGAGCATCTCTCCACTCTTCACATCTGCAGCACCTCTCTGCAACCGCTGCCTCACTCCACTGTACTCCAATCCCACTGATGCCGTAGTGCTGACATAGCGGACCAACCTCTTGGCCGCTTCCAGCTCCTCATTACTAGGGCGTGAGACCACACTAGCCAACCGTGATGTAGCAAATGCAATGTCAGGCCGTGTATGATTTGCAGTATAATTCAGCGACCCAACCATCGAATGAAACAGCTTCCTGTCACTCTCACCCACTACCTCCTCATCAGCACATGGCTCCACAGTAAACCCCGAAGGTAGTGGTGTTGCTGGCTTTCCCCCATCTTGCAGCCCATACTTCTCAGCCAGCCCCTCACAGTACTTCCTCTGGTGCAACCTCAGCACACCCTTTTCCACATCTCTCTCCACATGCATCCCCAAGTAGTACTTCACCTCACCCATCTTGGAACACTTGAACTGCATCTCCAGCATCTGCTCTGCGCTGTCCAGCAAAGCAGTTGATGCAGAAAAGAGAAGGATATCATCCACATACACCAAGAGCATGAGGATTTCATCCTTCTCCTGCAACAGGAACAGGCTGGGGTCACACTCACTCTTCTTGAAACCCCCAGCCAGCAGCGCCTCCTCCAACTTGTGATACCATGCACGAGGCGCCTGCTTAAGGCCATAGATGGCCTTCTTCAGCCTGCAGACCCTGCCGCTCCCATCATCCAGCCCCTCTGGCTGCTTCATGTACACCTCCTCTAGAATGATCCCATTCAAAAAGGCAGTCACTATGTCCATCTGCCGTATCTTCCATCCCAGGAGTGCAGCTATCGCCAACAGCACCCTCAGTGTTGTTCCTTTCCCCACAGGAGCAAACACCTCATCATAGTCCTTCCCCTTTGTCTGCTGAAACCCCCGTGCCACAAGCCTAGACTTGTAGCGGGTCAGCTCCCCTTCAGGTCCATACTTGTGCCTGTAGATCATCTTGGAAGTGATTGCCTTCTTCCCAGGAGGCAAGTCACACAGGTCCCATGTCTCGTTCTCAATCAGGGACCCAAACTCCTCATCCTCACTCGCCTTCCACTTCTCCCCATTTGGTCCATTCAAGGCCTCCTCTCGAGTCTTGGGCTCAGGGATTGGTGCCCAGTAGCAGTGAGCGATGTCATCTTCCTCAATCTGCTCAACCACACTCCCAGCCTGCACAACATTCAGCTTGCCTCTTCCCCCATAGGTCAGCCTCACTGGAGGGCGCACATCCCTCCTAGGTCGCTCAGGCGGGTGTGGAACTCGAGGTGGAGACTCATGCTGCTGCTGCTGCTGCTCCACCTCAGCTGCTCCCCTTTCCTCAGTCACCCCAGACATCTCCTCCTCAGACACTGCAACCTCCACCTGTCTTGAAGGCTGCTGCAACTCATCTGCCTCCACAATTAGCGGTGTAGATGGAAGCTTCTGTTGCTGCTGCTTCCATTCCTTGTAGTACAGGGACTCAAGAAACTTCACATCCCTTGACACAGTCAGCTTCTGGGTGGTCAAGTCCTACAGCAGCCACCCCTTGTGATCCTTTGCAATCCCCAAATGCACACCCCATCTTCCAGAAGCCTCCAACTTCCCCCTTTTCTCCTTAGGCACATGAAATACCACCATGCACCCAAATGCCCTCAGCATGTTCACAGCTGGAGCACTCCCATACCACTTAGTATACGGGATCCACTTCTTATCCCCAACTGTAGCCAGCACCCTGTTCTTCACAAGGGCGACTTGCCTCAGTGCACACACCCAAAACGGATCAGGCAGCCCTGCACGCCCAAGGAGAGTGCGTGCCCCATCCTGCAGGGTCCTGTTGAACCTCTCAGCCACGCCATTTTGCTGCGGGTTGTAGGGCACTGTCAGTTGATGTTGGATCCCCTTCCTCTTCAACTCCCCCTCAAAATCAGCTCCAATGAACTCCCCACCATTGTCACTGCGGATCACCTTCACCTTGTGTCCGCATTCCCTCTGAGCTCTAGGCATCCACTCCTTAAGGACAGCCACTGCCACCTCCCCCTTGCTCTTCAAAGGGCAAACCCACACTGCTCGAGTGTGGTCATCCACAATTGTCAAGAAATAGCGGCTGCCTGAGAGGGAAGGGGCTCTTGTGGGCCCCACCACATCCATGTGCACAAGTGCAAGTGGGGTCTTGGCTGGTCCTGTAGTGCTGTTGAAGGGGAACTTGGAGAACTTGGTCTCCAAGCATGTAGGGCAGCTCCCAATCTCCTTCACTCCCCCTTTCACCTCCAAGCCCTTCAGGCTCCCATCCTTCACCAACTTCTGCAGCATAGGGAAGTTCACATGACACAGCCACTCATGCCATGTCTCCCAATCGGCCTCACCACTCCTTGATGAAGCCTTAGCCCATGCCGCACTCGCATCCACACCAGCAAGCACCTCACCATGTGTCTACTGCTGCTGCACTTTCTTGACTGCTTCCAGGACCCCATCAGTTGGTGCAGTTGCATCTCCTCCTGCTGTTGCCTTTGCCGCCAGTGCCGTTGCTGCTGTTGGAGTCTTCCCATTCCAAGGGATGATGGGCAGCTGCCAGAAGTCCTTGATGCAGCTGGTCTCCTCTTCCAGACTCCACAGCACCTTCTTCCCAAGCTTAGCACGGCAGCTGGTTGGTCCAAAGGTCACTTCGGCCTTGCTCTTCTGCAGTCGCCGCACAGAGAGAAGGTTAGCAGACAAACCTTCAACCAGCAGAACATTCCCAAGCCCCACAAGCTCCCCATTAGCTCCCTTAACCTTGGCATTTCCAACACCAATCACAGGGAGCAAAGCACCTGACGCTGCTGCCACATACTTAATCTTCCCAGGGGGTTTTACCTCATCAAGCAAATCTGCCCGTGGGGTCATGTGACTGGTGCAACCTGAATCAATCACCTGGTGCGTGAGAGGGTGCATCACAACCTTTCCCACAGATCCCACATCACCCTCATGCCCATGCACATCCTCAACCATGAGAAACATCCCAGGATAGGTATTACCTTGTGCACCTTCACCTTGTGCACCTGAGCCTTGCACAGCGCCACCTTGTGCGCGTTCACCACTGGGCGGCTTCATGCCTGGAGGTGCCCATCCCTCCGGCCTGCTGAAGCACTTGAACCAAGGATGCCCGACCTTCTTGCAGTACCAGCAGGTGCCCTCCATTCTGGTACTCCCCCTGCCACTAGAGCTCCCATGCCCCTCATTATAGTCACCTCGGCCTCTACCTCTGCCAAAGCTCCTCCCACGGCCTCGGCCTCTCCAACCCCCTCTTCCTCTGCCGCGCCCTGCAGCTCCATACCCCTCAGCAGTCTTAGTGGAGGCACCACCTCCTACATGGCGTCTGCGGAAGTCCTCTTGCAGAATCTGCTGCCTTAGCCACTCAGGTGTCCATTGATCTTGCTGAGAGTTGAGGGTGGGGATGAGGTTGTCCCAAGAGTTGTCCAACACCGAGATGATCTTGGTGCACTGCTGCAGCTGAGATACACTGCTGCCCGCTGCTGCCATCCTTACATAGGTGTCCTTGATCTTGTCAAGGACCGGCTTCACATCGTCCCCTGGTCGCATAGAGGTGGCAGCAAGTTCCTTCTCGAGCACGATCACCATCGGGAGAGTGTTGGGCTGAATCACATCGCGTAGTAGTTTCCATGCCCTTGGACCCAAATCATCCGCTTCCACAAGATCCTTGATGTGCTCGAACATCTCCTTGTTGACCGATTGAAGGATGAGGTCGAAGAGCACCGCGTTTTTCTCAATCCACCGTTCACGTGCTTCGCCTTCTTCCGGCATCTTCTCTTTCCCAACAGCAATCTTCAGTAGCTTGTAGCGTTTGAAGGCACTCCTCATCCGACCGCTCCATTCCTCATAGTTGGAGCCATCCAAAGCTTCAACTTTTGATGGCGGCGGCTCACTTGTCTTCTCGGGTACAGCTCCTCTTCCATTATCATCTCCTCCCCTCTCATTCATCTTCTCCCTTAAAAATGACGAATTTCAGCTCCCCTTTGCTGTCCACACTCAGCTCCCTCGATATTTTCACAAGTGTCGGCGTCCACGAAATTTCGGCAGAGTTTCCCCTTACCGGAAGACACATCCAACCTTTAGAACACCACTTAGGCACACCCACAGGCCATGGTGGGTCTAGAAGGGTCTTCACACTTCTGTAGACTCCTCTCAATGTCCTCAATATGGCTCTGATACCACTTGTTAGGATTAAGGACGGAGTCTAGGTGAACTTAGGAGCTAGAATTCCTCAAAATATAGATCCGAAATTCTGGACAGAAAAGTCGTCTTCACAAGAAACGACGTCGACAACAAACTAGCCGTTGGAATGTCGCGAAACTGGGATATGTTGTAGCTCTTAATCTCAGCTACCATTCCCAATTTGCATCACATTGATTGATGAAGTATTCGCGACGCTATGGCTTTCGACGCATTAGAGGGTAAGCTGTAAGAGGAGAACTTAACTCAATCTCAAAAGTTCAATTGAAGTTCAAGAATCTCAGAAGGAATTAGAGGAGCAAGAGAAAGGTTGAGATAGAAAAGAGGGACGAGAGGGAAGGTTCCAAGAGAGTCTCCAACCAAGGAAACCTCATAAGCACAAAGATTCCCTCCCTATAGGAACCCCATCTTTGACATTTGTCCCTTCTCAACCAATCCAACCAAGTTGGCCAACCTTGCCAACCTAGCTTGGTGGTTTCCAACCAATTTTGTAGCTGCTACAGTAGAGTGACGAATTTCCCCAACCCCAAAGGTCCCAACTCCATGTAGAGTCACCCCACAACTTCACTTTGTAACCGCCGCAATTGTAACGCAAGCTCATGAACTTTGAATCTTCATAGCTTTCGCGTTCTTGCTCCGATTGAAGCGATTCTTGTTGCGTCGGAAAGATCTTCTCAAGATCTATCATCACAAATACCCACTCAAACAAAAATAACAAAATACACATTCCCAAACTCCATAACACACACCACACACAAATTCTTGCACACGCTCAAACCACGCATGCAAGTTGAAAACATGGGATGGGAGGCAGACAAAATGTGATAGCATATGATGACATTACATAACAGTGATATAACACATCTTTCAGTTATTTGCAAAGCGGATCTAATGAAGCTATATAGTTTAGATGATGAGCGATCCCCAATATATTGCCATTATTCCTCATCATTTGTTTAAACTAATATCATTTTTTAAATTAAACTTGAAAATACAAATCTCGCCCGATTGATCGCAAAATTTGCGACCAAAAAAAAAGAAAAAAGAAAAAAAAAACACTTTGCTGTCCAAGCCTTAACCTAGGATTCATGGATCTCTCCGCATTGTCACGATGCAAGCAATTTTTGTATTAGCAGATGAATAGCACATTCATGATGCTTTTCCATCAGCCTTAAAAAACCCATCATTATTGAATAAAATTGATGCCACTTGAAAGTGTGCACGCGTTTGACAGATGACCGAACCCATCCTTGAGCCTTGCAAGATTTTTATCCATCGTTGGTGATGTATTTTTCTTCTTATATTGATGGCGACACTTGGGACTAGCTTTAATCAGTTACTTTTTTCTTCGAGGCGTGCTCCCAATCTCTCTTAGGAGGGGTGGCAGTGTAAGCAACAGGGCTATATTATACTCCTTCCATCATGAACTTTTGGATACAAGGCCTGGTTCAAGACCCTCGCCACTCCAAGGCCGACTCGCTTTGTCACTGCTCCCTTTGATGGTGCCTATTCCCAATATAGCCTTTCCGTATCGTAGCCTAGCGAAGACACTCGTAAATTTATTGCTAGATATATGTTTGTCAATTACCCCGGTTGAACAAGGCTAAAATAGGGCCAGAGCGACAACGTGCAAGGTGGGGTGAGGACCTTGGGACTTGAGGTGGAGGTGAAAGGGAGGACGCGACCTCAAAATGGTTCCCATGACGGGTGTGATCCATAGCTTGGTTTTGGGTATTTTGAGAGGTGTGTTGCTTAGCGTTTGGTAACTACCACAAGTTCCATGCATGACCGGTTCTTACAAACTATTGCAATAACGGTGCGTAGGTTGGGTATGCGGCATATGCAATGCTTAATCTTGGGTTTGGTTCATCAACCCATGTGCTATACTTCACCTAAGTTTGGTCATTTATGACGCATGCGGTGCTTAACCATGAGTTTGGTACTTACCATATGTATGGTGCTTAACTATGGGTTCAATACTTATCACATGCACGATACGTAACCTTAGGCTTGGAACTTATATGACATGGCCTACCAAATGTGAGGTCTAGTACATATGATAGATGCAATGCTTAGCTTGGTTCTAGGTATATCAAAAAGAGTAAGGCCAACATTGTTGGGATTAAGGACGGAGTCTAGGTGAACTTAGGAGCTAGAATTACTCAAAATATAGATCCGAAATTCTGGACAGAAAAGTCGCCTCCACAAGAAGCGTCCTCGACGAAGACCTGGTCTTTGGAATGTCGCGAAACTCGGATATGTTGTAGCTATTAGTTTCAGCTACCGTTTCCAATTTGAATCACGTTGAGTGATGGATTATTTGCGAAAAGACGACTTTCGACGCACGGAGGGGTATGCTGTAGGAGAAGAACTTAACTCAATCTCAAACGTCAATCAAGGTTTAAGAATCTCACAAGGAATAAGAGGAGCAAGAGAAATGTTGGAAGGGAAGAGAGGGATGAGAGGGAAGGTCCCAAGAGAGTCCCCAACCAAGGAAACCCCATAAGCACAAAGATTCCCTCCCTATAGGAACCCCAACTTTGACATTTGTCCCTTTCCAACCAATCCAACCAAGTTGGCCAATCTTGCCAACCTAGCTTGGTTGTTCCCAACCAAATTGCAGCTGCTACAGTAGAGTGACGAATTTCCCCAACCCTCAATGGTCCCAACTCCATATTGAGTCACCCCACAACTTCACTTTGTAACCGCCGCAATTTTAACGCAAGCTTATGAACTTGGAGGCTTTATAGCTTTCGCGTTCTTGCTCCGATTGAAGCGATTCTTGTTGCGTCGGAAAGATCTTCTCAAGATCTATCATCACAAATACCTGTTCAAACAGAATAACACAAAACACATTCCCAAACTCCAGAATACACCACACACAAATTCTTTCACATACTGTCAAACCATACATGCGAATTGAAAGAAGGGATGGGAGGCAGACATAATGTGATGGCATATGATGACATCATACAACAAACGTTACGTTTGGTACTTACTAAATTTGTCATGTATAACTATATTATTCGATTTCCTAGATCTTGGTTACGCTACTTACTACATGTGTGGCGCTTATCCTTGGATTGGGTACTTACCAGATGTACAATGCTTCACATTGGGTTTGGTTGCTAACGCAGGTGCTCTACTTCATATTAGGATGATACCCACAATGGATGCAATTATCATCTTGGTTTTGGGTCTTACAAAATATGTGTTGCTTAACCTTGTGTTTGGTACTTTGTACAAGTTTTCAGCTTTACTTTTGGCAGCGTTACGTATCGTACTAGTGCTAAGAGCCAAATACAAGAAAATGATGGCCATTACATTAGGCTAAGGTTCACACATGAGGTTATTACTAAACCTAAGGACAAGTATGACACATGGTAAGTTTCCATAACAGTGAGTCCGGTATTGACCACAAAGGCAATGCTTGGTGCCGGGTTGGATACTTGTCCACATCTGCAAACTTAACCTTAAATTCAATACTTATTGCAGGTGCAATGCCTAGCTTTCAGTTTGGTTCTCACCACAAGTGCGCTTCTTATCCTTGGTCTCACAAACGCCCCCGAACAAACACGTATTGCTTAACCTCAAATTTGGTAAGCAACACAGCAATCTTGCATAACCGTTAAGTGCATGATTTTGATACTTATGATGTGTGAAATTATAAATTTGGTACTTCCTGCTTGTGCTTACCATATGTGCAATGATTAACCTTAGGTTTGGCCCTTATTAAGCATGCTATACTTAACACTATGATTGGTACTTATGTTAGGCACAATGCTTAGCTTGGATCTAGGTATTTCAAATTTTGTCTTGCTTATCCGTAGCTTGGGTACTCACTATAAGTGCCATGCATAACTGGTACTTGATACTTATAATTGGTGCAATCCTAAGTGAAGACCAAGAATCACCCCTACATAATAGAATAGAAGTATATTTGTCTCCAAACCAAATGCAGCAGGACATGCACATAATAGTTTTGAACAATGAATTAGTTGCGAACTAATGTTGTAATGTGCCAGCAAGTGAGCATAAGATTTAACATTAGCAATGGCACATCACGATCAGATGAGAGCCCCTTACAAGCAAGCACCCACTGTCCTTCCCTCCCCTCTTTTGCGACAAGCCTTGAAACCGACAGGAGGAATATGCATGCTATGTAAGGGAGGTGGTCGGGGAAAAAAAGGCAGGAAGGCGAGGATTTATGCATAGAAAATAGCATAGCAATTTGCAGATAGGGGAAGGGAGAAGATGCGATAAGAGAGGGAGAGAGAGAGAGAGAGAGAGAGAGAGAGAGAGAGAGAGAGAGAGAGAGAGGAGGAGAGAGAGAGGAGAAAGAGGAGAGAGAGAGGAGAGAGAGAGAGAGAGAGAGAGAGAGAGAGAGAGAGAGAGAGAGAGAGAGAGAGAGAGAGAGAGAGAGAGAGAGAGAGAGAGAGAGAGAGAGAGAGAGAGAGAGAGGAGAGGAGGGAGAGAGAGAGGAGAGAGAGAGAGAGAGAGAGGAGAGAGAGAGAGAGAGAGAGAGAGAGGGGGTGGTGGGGGCGGAGGGGAGAGATGGGGCCGGGGGAGTGGGCAATGTAGAGAGGGTCGGGCTGGGAGAGAGAAAAGCGGGCTGAGCTTCTGGGATGTGGAAAAGATGTGTGGTGCGAGAAAGAAGTAGAGCAGGAGAGGTTGCCGTATACCTCAAACGCCGCAAGGCGCCCCCTCCTCACCTTACAGCCCCACCACTGAGGTAGCGTAGAACGCTTTTGGCCGCCCGCCAGTGCGTAGAGGTATGTTTTCTTGCTTGGCAAGGTTGGGGCGAGTGCACATCATGGCTAAATCAGGGACCCGATGAGCTCAGCACAACGGTTAGAGAAGAAGCCAAGGATGGTGGCTAGCGAGAGCTGGTGGCCGACCATGAGGAATGTAGAGATGGGTTTGGCCGTGGCCAATCTCAAAGCGTTCAAGAACCTTTTCAAGTTAGAACGCTTGAGAGAGGGAGATGGCATTGGTAACACAGTCGCAAGTGATCTCAATGCGGAGGTAGTTGCGGACCAAGCGGGTCTGCAGCTCAGCCTTGACCTGCTAAAGGTCTGCTTTGTTGTGAGAGACATGTTGTCAACGTAGACGAGGATGTAGAAGGGGGAGGGGGAGATGCGAAGGTATAAATGGGAGGAAGCCTAAGAGGGGCGTAAGCCAAGAGCATGAAGTGTTAGAGAGCTTGGCATGCCACTCCCAAAGAGCTTGCTTGAGGCTGCAGTGGAGTTCCCAAACGGTGTTGGGAGTGAAGGGAAGGTGCCACCCCTTGGGGTGCTCTATGAAGTTGGGCTCATAGATTTCAACTTGGAGAAATGTCGTGGTTTTGTCCAAGGACTGCAGGAGCAGGCCGCGCCGGCCGACGAAGTCCAGGAACATGTGAAGAACGGGGGGTAGTAGCGGTTGGCAAGTAGGTGTTGATGAATTTGTGGCCGTACCATTGCATGAATCATTTGGCACATTAGTGGACCTTGTAGACCGGGTCATCGACAGGGAGGAGTTTTACCCGAAATACCCACTTGCCCTTGACCACATTGTGGTTGAGAGGGCAGGGTATGTTGATGAAGGTTCCATTGTGAACTAAGTCTTCATTCTCTTTGAGGACGGCCTTGCCTCAATGAGGATGGTCGGGGCAGGTCATGGCTCCATCATAGTTGGAGGGCCAAAAGAAAAAGGGTGCACCGGAGAAAACACAAACGGGTGTCGGTCATACTGCGGCAACTGCTAGGGTGTTAGAGAAGAGGTGGAAGCAAAGAATTTGCCGTGGGAGTCTTGGATGAGGGGAGGGAGACGGGAAGGAAGGGAGGTGGCATCGCAAGTCTGCTGCACTGCTGAGGGGGGAGGCTGTAATACTGTGACTCTGCTACTCGAGTGCACGGCTGCTCGACCGGGACAATTGCTGCTGTGGATCCTGACGCTGCGGGTACAGCTATTGGGGCACGTACAGGTGCAGCAACGGGAGCTGAAGCGGCGGGTGTGGGTGTCATTGGGGGGGGTGCTGGAGCGGGTGGTGGTACCTGAGGGGGGGAAGGGGCTAAGGCGGGCCAAAGAGGGGATCCATGGACCGCGTATGAGGACGGTGACGAATGAACAGTAGTGGGGACACCTGGGGGGGTGGAGGAGGAGGTGGGGGAGGAGGAGGGGGAGGGGAGGGAGGTGGGGAGAAGGGGGAGGAAGGAGTGGAAGCGGAGTAAGAGGGAGAGGGGGGGAGTACCGGGTTAAGGATGTCATTTGAGGAGGATGAGGAGGGAAGGGATTCGGGGGGAGAAGGTGCTGAGGGTGGTGGAATGAGAGGAAGAGGGGGGAGGAAGGGTGGGGTGATAGTGTCAGAGGCGATGCGAGGGCAAGGAGGAATGGTGGGTGGGTCGGTTGAGGCAAGTGAGGTTTTGTACGGAGAGGATTCGTCAAAGAAGACACCCCGGCTATGAGTGAGGCAACCTGAGGGGGTTTGAAAGAAGAGGTTTTCGAGGGAGGAGGTGTTGTAACTGAGGAAGATTCAGGGGAGACTCTTGGAGGCCTTCCCTGTCGTGAGAATCCCAGGCGTGTAGGCAGGAGACATCATGTTCAGTTGACATCCAAAGCTTGGTGGGTGTGGTGGAGGGGAAGAGAGGGTGGGGATACAAGTTAGTGAGGAGGGCGTAACCCCCGAGAGAAGGTGGGCAGGAGGCTTGAACGAGGAGACATTTGGCAGTCTTTGTCACTTCTCGAATGCGAGCCTCTGCTAGCCATTCTCCTGAGGGGAGTGAGGGAGGGTGTATGTGTGGTGAATATCATGGGAGGCGGAATAGGACGAGAGGTGGTGATTGAGAAATTCGCCGCCTCCATCGGAATGGAATTGACAACTGAGGCGACCGAAATGGGTGGGCGCCTGCTCAGCCCAAACAATGATAAAGGCCGGTGCCGCGGCCTTCGTGAGAAGGAGAGACACTAATCATCAATCAGGACGAGGAGGTAGCAATGCCCTTGAGATCTGGGGGATGGGTTGGGCCCCATAGATCCATGTAGGCGAGATCCAGGAGCTCTAGGGTGCAAGAAGGTTGAGTCTTATAAGGAAGTTGCTTGAGCTTGCTATGGACACAGGGGGGCCTGCGAAGGGAGGGAGTGGGGGGAGAATGAGGGGAAGGCTAGTAAGGAGTTTGGAGGCGACGACCTTGTGGAGGGTTGCAAAGTTGGGGTGACCTAGGCAGTGTTGGGGAAGGATAACAGGATGTGTAAGATCGCAACATTGGCACTGAGATGGGGGAGGAGCAGGAGGAGAGTAAGGGGAGGTGGGGGGAGGTTGTGGAGGAAAGAGGGGAGGGGGGAGGGGAGGGACGGCGGAGGCAGCATGGCAGGCTGACGGACAGGGAGTGTGAAGGGTGTACTTGCAAGTGTAAGGATACATGGGAACATGAATGATGAAGTGACCTGATGAAGTCAAACTGATCACAATGGGAAGCGTGACCTGAGTAGATTGAGTTGACCCTGGCCAATTGAAGTGCATCTTGGGAGACAAGGTTAGTGCCGAGGGAGGGGACATGAAAGCCAGTAACTGAACCTGATGGGAAGAGGGGGCAGGGAAGGGTGGAGGTGTGACGGGAGGCGACCGAGACGGTGGAGTCGACACCAATAATGTTGGAGGGGTTGAGGAGTGGGGTGCGGGCTCTATTGTCGCGAAGGACTGTGACGCTGACACCACTGTCAATGACAAACACAATCAAGGGAGGGGTGGGGTGAGACACGAAGTACTAGAATGAGGTCTCATTAACAGATTGGGGATACATAGGAGAAACAACAGGAGAAGCATAGCTAACATGGTCTATGAAGCCCGTAGAAGAAAACGGGGTAAATCTAGGAGGTCCACCTGTGCAAAATTAGCAGGAGCGGAGAGGCCGGAGCCCTGGGCGGAGGAGGGGAGGGCTGCTGCAGGAGCATTTGCGGCTATTGAGCGTGTTGCAGCTGCTGGAGGAGCTTCTGCAGGAGCTGCTGCTGGTGCTACAGTTGCTGAGGGTATGGCTGCTGCCGCTACAGCTACTGCCCCTGCTGCTGCTACTGCTGTTGGGACTGCTGCGGCTGCAGGGACAGAAGGAGAGGGGTGACCTGCTAGAGGATTAGGGGAGAGAAGTGTTGTGCAAGGATGTGGTGGAGAGCGGTGGAGGAGGGCTAATAGGCAGGGAGGGTGCGAACATCAAAGGGAGTGTCAGGAGGAGTGATAGCAGACCAATGAGGGAGGTTGCTAGTGTTGTCTTGAGGGATTTGAAGCATGTGGTGGAAGCGTGAGTGGTTTGGAGGCAGCCCAGATAGGGACACAGGGAGAAGCCACCGGTGCTGCTGGATCCATTGCTGCCCCCCCGTCCTCCTCTGCACCCCCCGCCACATCCGCCATCCGAGCGTCCTGCCGAGCTGCCGCCATGGCCAGCACCTCGTCCTCCACGTGCATCAGTAGCATAAGCCGTTGGAAGAGACTGGTGGAGGAGCTCCACTTCCGTCTTCAGAATCCATGCGGCTACAGTGGCAAAGTAGGGTGCGAATCTGGCATGGACCTCATTGAACGCGACTCGATGGGCCTCATACATTGGTGTGAGGTTGTCGAGGAGGCGGCAGATGATGAGGGATTTGGGAAGAGGAGAACGGCGATTGGCAAGGCATTTGGCAGTGTTACGGAACTATTGCGGGTAGTCATTCATGATTGCGGATCAAATGACAGTGGTGAGCCTTTGGACGAAGGTTGCCCAGCTGACAGGGACGGCGCTGTTGATTAGTTCGAGGACATTGATGGTGGAGATGTTGATAATGGTTTAGTGGCCACGGTGCAACTGCGGTTACTGCTACTGTTAATACTGCTGATGAGGGGAGAGAGAGTAGGACGAGGAGGTAAGGGGGAGATGCGGTTGCGACTGCAGATGCGGATGCTGCTGATGGGGAGAGAGGGGAGTAGGAGGAGGTAGGAGGGGGGAGAGGGAGATGCGGCTGCTACTGCTGATGCGATGCAGCTGCTACGGCTGATGGGGATGGGGGGGTGGGGGGAGGGGGAGGGGAGGGGAAGAGGTGGAGGAGGTAAGGGGGGGGTGGGGTGGGGGGATGCGGCTGTTGCAGCTGGTGAAGGGAGAGAGGGGAGGAAGTGGAGGTTGGGGGAGGATGCGGCGGCTGTGGTTGATGGGGGAGAGGCGAGGAGGAGGAGGTTGGAGAGGATGCAACTGATTTGGCTGAATTGTGGTAGGGGACGAAGGAAGGGAAGAGGAGGAGGAGAGGGAGGGAAGGAGGGAGGGAGGGAGAGGGGGAGGAGGAAGGAGGAGGAAGGGAGGAGGAGGAGGGGAGGAGGAGAAAAAAGCGGGTGCACGCAATGTCGCCATAGGCCACGTAGCCTAGGAATAGCACCGCGGGAGTGTCTTGAGATGGTGCATAGCGCAAATAGCTTTAAACAGGTACATTACTGAACAGGTACTTCTAGCAGATAAAAAACTAGCATGTCTCTCTTCTATTATTAACTTGTTCTTCAGCAATTCTGGACAACACTCACAAGTTCTAAAACTTCCGCTGTCTTACTAGTCTACCATTTGAGCAAAGATCCTTGCTCAAGTCTTGAAGTATAATAAGGCTGTAACACTAACTCTGGTGTTACAACTTGTTAAATACTGACTGTTACTG